CAGGACATTCACTTATCATGCACAGTACCGCTGAGATATACGCAAACTCACCCCGCTTCCGGCGGCGGTCGAGTACTTTTGTCGACGCAATCCACGACTTACCCACCAAAGAGGAAATGGCTCCCGCTCAACTCTATAGCACAGAGTCAGGCCGCCTCTTCCATTCCGGTCGCATAGTCATCGCCACCTGTGGACTACCAGCTCGAGGAAAGACACACACATCCGTCGCCTTAGCCCGCTACCTCCGGTGGCTGGGTGTCAAGACGCACGTGTTTCATCTTGGCGATTACCGCCGCGCTACGCTAGGTCCGGATAACGATGTCCCCGACGACTACTTCTTTCTGAACGCATCGCCGCAATCTGTCCTACTACGCAATAAGATTCTCAAGAAGTGCCGTGAGGACATCTACCACTTTCTGGAAAACGACAAGGGCCAGGTGGCTATTTACGACGCCGTCAATGCGATCAGTCAAGGCCGTAGATCTTTAGCGAAAGAGTTTGCCAAGAACGGGATCCAGACAGTCTTCATCGAATCACATTGCACCGACGAGCGCATCATCCAAGAGAACGTCCGCCGGGTCAAGATCTCTTCACCAGATTACCAAGGATGGAAAGACGAGGATGCGGTTCACGATTACCTAGCACGCATCAACGCGCGGATACCGCATTTCGAAACTATGGAGGAGCCGGACCTACACTGGATTAAGATGATCAACGCTGGCGAGCGAGTGGTAGTCAATAATTGCGCATTCGGATACCTCTCCCAACGAATCGTCTTCTACCTGCTCAATCTTCATATCAAGTCACGGCAAACGTACTTTGCTCGGGCAGGAACTACGCGAGAGGAGGACTCGTACAAAGCAGATGCAGACCTATCACCAGCAGGTCATGAATACGCCAAGAAGATGAGCGAAGTACTCTTGAAGTATCGCGAAGAGGAGAAGCAGAAGCTGATCGAGTCGGGAGCAACTGATGCATCGCTGAAACCGTTGACGATCTGGACTTCCACGCGCCGAAGGACTGTACAGACATCAGAGGTTCTAGCCTCCATGGGCTACCGCGTCAGACAGCGATCGCAAATGAGCCAGATGAACCCTGGTGTATGCGAGAAGATGTCAGAAGCCAAGATCCGCCAGGAATTCCCCGAGGAAGTCAAGAAGCACGAAGCTGACCCGTACCACCATCGATACCCGCGCGCAGAGTCATACCATGATCTTGCAGTGCGCATGGAGCCCATCATCCTAGAGCTTGAGCGCGAAGAGAACGATCTTCTCATCATCGCTCACGAGTCTGTTCTTCGTGTGCTTTACGGATATCTGATGGCATGTAACGCAGCCGACATACCCAAGCTCGAGTTCCCTCGCGACGAGATCATTGAGGTAAGCTCATCTATACTACTCGCTGCCATCCTTATCCTTATATTAACACCCTCCCAGATCATACCCTCCTCCTACAACAACGTGGCAAAACGCATTAAGATTCCCGAGCTACCCGAATCCATGGTTCCCGGAAGCCCCGAAGACATCAAGATCCCCGTCCCACCCAGTGGAGCCGTAAGTCCACTATCTGGAATGGGTACCCCTCAAGCTGGCTCCGGCACCGCGACACCCCAGCATGGTGTGCAACCCCTGAATTTGAAGGCACATATTAACCCTTCTTCTTGATCAGGTGCGGTATCGATGTCGGTACGGCGCTACGTTTGATAACGAGCGATCGAGCCAACAGACGGACTATGACTCGGATTGAGGGACAATTGTGGTGCGTGCGGCGCAACGAATGGCTTTCGGATAGATGATGAGGATTTCGGCATGAGTACACGGACGGACCTTTGTCAGGGCGTTGGGGTGCGGTGTGTTGAAGACCGTCCTTAGATTACACTTGGCTTCTTGACCTGTTATTCAACATCCTTATGAACATGACCTTCTCAGTCTCCATCATCACTATGCTTTGTTTGGTAAGTTCAAGGCGAACAGATCTTGGGTTTTATGTTCTTCATTGCTTCATGTAATGATGGATGATGTCTTCGTTACCGTCTAACGACAATTCTCCACCCATGATCATATGTAAGCCTTGATTTCCATGCCGACTAACAAGGAAGACGCCGCAGCAACACCATATCGCCGCCCGCCATTCCTTTGTCAAAGTGATATCCAGAGAGTCTCTGACCGTGCCTTCATCACACTCCAACGTCCCCGCCATCCAAGCCATGTTCGTTACTCATTGCCTAGCGTTCGCACTCGAATATAGGGTCAGTTCAAGTCGTGTTAGACATAGTCGCAATGACAGCTTACTCATTGCCCCAACCCTTGTCGATAGCCCACTGCCATCCACCCCAACCATCATGATCACGGGGGCGGACCCTGAACGGCTCGTCCTCACGCGCAGCAGGGCACGCCCAAGTATCACCTAAACCGATGCCGTAGTACTTGAGGCCATAGCGAGTACCGTCGTTCTGACCAGGAGTGAGGGGGCGCGCGTCGGACGGCATCTCAGGTAGATCGAGGTCGAAGAGGTCGGGAAGAATACCCAGGAGGCACTCCATCTCAGCGTCAGTCTCGTGGATGTCAGCATAAGTGGGGGCATGGTGGTTCTCGAAGATGTCGAACGGCGGGGTGACAGAGGGAGCGGGAGCCGGGAAAGTGAAGGCGAAAGGGTGGGAGGGCTCTCCGAACTGCTGCATGTAGTGAGCCATGGAAGAAGGTTCTGGTGGGGACCAGCGTACTACGGGCGCGGAGCTCTCCAATGCTGGGACATGGCGAGGGAAGCCGCTGCGTCTCTGTTGGTTGTTAGGCTTCTGTGCATGCATTTCTGCGGGAGTGGGCCAGACTACAGTGTTCTCTGCACGGAACGGACGCTCGGGAAGCGTCGCCGGCATGAAACCTTGGAACCTCTCTGTAGGCTCTGCTTGGTAGGACTGGCGGCGCGGCATGAAGTTCGCATCGTCGGGGTAGATGTCGGCGTGCGAAGGCTCGGGACCTTGATCAGTGCGCTTGGTACGGGTCAGCGCGCGTGGACGTGGACGGTACTCTCTTGGACTAGAAAGCTCAGGTACATGATCACGGCGTGACGGCCAGTTGGGCGTCTGGAGGTTGCTGAAGCGACGGGGCTGTCCGAATCCCGCAGGACCTGTAGGTACTTGCTGTAGTGGTGACTGCATGACCGCTGGGCTGATCGAGCTACGCTCCTCCGCGAAGATCCTACGAGGACGTTCGCCCATGAAGCCAGGAGGCGCGGGAACAACTTTGGTAGACTGGCGTTCTTCATCTGCGCGCTCTGGATAGCGATCTTGAATGTAGCTCTTGCGACGTAAAGGTGTCTTAGCGGCGTCGTCCTTGTCCTTGCCGCTGAGGTATTGGGCTAGGTCATTCGCGGTTAACGGCTTGTCCAGCGCTCGTCCTATGAGCTTACCCAATACGCCTTCTGAAAGGCCTTCAGAGCCGTGAGACTGGAGGAAGCGTGCTGAAGAGTCGACGTTAGTCGTCTCGTTCTTGATACCAGGGAGATCGAGGCCCGCACTCAGCTCTCCGACGTCTGGCGCCTTGGAGTCGGGGTTGAGTCGCTGACCAGGGAAGAGGCTACGCGGACTGTTGAAAGAGTTTCCTGTGAGGTTACTGCGAGAGATTGCACTGGGTCGTTCACGGTTCAAAGTGATGTGGTGGTCTAGACAAGTCAGCTTCAATCTTCGCATCGTGATAAGATTGACGTTACCTTGTAGCATCTCCTGAAGAGAATCCAATGGCATATCCTCCTGCTTGAGTGGCTTCCGTGAGCTTTCTCCGAACTTGAGCTCTTCGTAGCCCTGGTAGTTGGGTCGCAGATCCCTAGTAGGCCGGAAAGGCGAGTCTTCTGCTATCCTGTTAGTGTTGCTAGAGGTGCTGGTGGATGAGAAGACTTACCATCAAAGACGTCTCGCATCTTCGCCTTCTGTCGCGGGCTGGTAGGCGGAGTTGGTCCTGCAAGTCCACCGGACATGCTGGTTTCGGCCGCAGTTGGACTGAAGGTTGGTGCTTCTGGGTTGAACGAGACAGACCTTCGCGAGGCTCTCGGCTGCTTCTGCTCCATGTTGTGTCTTTGTTACAGAAGTAAGTTCAAAGGAGAGCTTATTAAATGAGCGCAAGATGCGGTCCTTAAGTATAACCCTCAAGCCCGAATACGACAGTGAATGCTGCGGTGACTTGCGATTTCAATCGTCCGTCACCTTCGTTTACGGGCGCGACTCGAGCAGCAAACTCAGCTTGGCGTGTCGCAGTGAATAGCGATATAGATACAATACAACTTCCGTAATGAGCGACTGACTAAGACTGTCGTAGATATTCGAGCATAGCTGGGAGAGGAAATGAGTGTAGATGGTGTCGTTAGATTGACCAGGCGAGACTGGCTTGGACTGAGCTCGTGATTTCTACATCAAGCTGTGCAAGTGAAGGTGAGTATCGAGCGCCACATAGTGTGGCTTGCCAGGCTACCTAGGTAGCGCCTGATGCGAAGGTGAAGGTACACACCCTGCGCCATTGCGATGATCATGGTCAGGGATGTGGTTTGGGTGGCAAAACATGCCTTTGACGTCTTGGGCATATGCGAAGTGCTCTAGCATCGGCTCCCGCGCTTTTTATGAGGTTTGACGCCCCCACGAAGCCAGTCAGCGAGTGGGTGATCATAGACTAAACAGCGCACGGACGGTCTCGATGACTGCTCGCGTGAGACTTCTAGGGCAGCACACCAATCAGAAGCGAGCACGATGACGCCCTGACGCGCCTCATTGAATAGGCTGGAGTGCAACCTATGTTTAAAACCCTCGCACAACACGCCCCTTTGCGCCTGCTACATTCAAAGTCAGAGCTTCTAATTTTTTGGTCAGGTTCACAGCCCAGCTCACAATACGACCGCCTCGCTAATCTGTGGTAAACCACAGCACGCGACCCCATCTTTTTCCACCACAATAATGCACACTAGCTTCACCAGCATAAATCAACAAATACACCAGCCAGACCATCATACTCACCATGCCGATGATGTTCACCCCGGACGACACGTTGCTGTTCTCACCTAGCAAGAAACAGCCGTTTGCTCACTCACCTTATGGTCACGAGATACGGACTGCGACTCGATGTCAGCATGGACTCCACCCCTCCAATCCACAACATACTCCGTGGTGTTCCAAATGCACAGTTTCGCAGGCTAGAGCAAAGTCCGACGTTGCACTCAAGAAGCTGGTAGCCGAAGGCGGATTAAGACCTCCAGTGTACATGCGCGACCGACGGTGGAACAGGGCAAGAAACGGGTACCTGATAGCGAAGCAGCGACTCGAGAAGACACGCAAAGAGGAGCAGCTGCGCTGGGAGCGCGAGCGAGCGTGGGACGACGCTCACAGCCAGTTCAACCCCAACAACATCCAGGCAGCAGTCTTACCCAACAAATCACCCTCGTTGTGCCCCGTCTGTGACTCCTTGGTATCATCTTACCCCACAACTATGCCTGAGGCGCAACCCACAAAGTACGAGGCTTGGTGGGAGAGACCAAGCGCTCTTGCCACCTCACACATACTCGTGCGCCAGACACCACCACGTTCGCGCAACCAACATCCTACACCCTCGCAAGCACATAGGGGCAACCCCATACTGCGCCAGATAATCGCAGACAAGCGCAAAGAATTGCACTCGGACGCCAACTTGCGACGAGCCTGGGAAGCCCGAGACAAGACCGAGGCGGCACTGCGTCGCAAGCACGGCTTGGGCGACATGCCCATCAACAAAGACTTCTGGGACTACCCGATCTCTGGATACTTTAGTCGCCTTACCCATCAGAATAACAGAGAAATGGTACGTTCGGCGGAACGGCGCGCGCGCGGTAACACAGCGCGCCCCAGACCACCGCGCAGCTCACTGTCTTACTCGGAGACGACGGACGATGTGGAAGTCGAGCCGGGCTTTGAGGAAACGCTGAAAGAGAAGGAAGAACGCGAAGAATGGGAGCGACAAGTTCGGAAAGTAGCAGGCGAAGTTGGATACCTTTATTTCGTTGGCGGTGGCAACAACCTTTTGGAAACGTGGGAAGAAGATTACGAGCGGAGTGCCGACTACCTTGTTACGAGGAATGAGACTCCTGTAGCGGAGACGGCGAATGAGGGCGATGTCCACGATGGGAGTGAGACGACGGATGGTGATGCCGATGAGGAGGATTGGGGCGATGAAATGGATGTCGATGATGCTTAGGAGGGTGATGATGCATTCTATCATGTCAACAGCGCTTAGATTGCTAGTTGGTTCGTTGTATAAGAGATACACAGTGTATGGTTATATTAATGATTGAGGGGTTCAGACACCTCCATTGACATACGATGGACGTGCTGTGCGAATGAGTGTCGTATAGTGGATGTCATCGCTCGTGGGGTCGCTGTGGATCAACCCTGTGGCGCTTCTGGAATGCGTCGTGTGGGTATAGATGACATCGAGGCATGGGTTGAACGGACGATGCACAAAGCGTTGAAGACGCCGACACGTGGGTGAAAAGCTTGTCTAGCGCTAACCGATCTAGGTGCATGGAAATGTCGATCAGGAGCATGTGCGCAATCACGGTATGTTATCCAAAAGTTATACTTTCAATGATACATTATAGCCCTGTCATGTAAAACACACATCTACGAAGAAGTTCGAGTCCCCTCATTTGCCGCCCGTACGTCAACACCATTACCAGGCAGCTCATACATCACATCACTGCCCTGAACTTCCACAACGCCTACTTCACCCGAGCCCTTCAATTCCCAAGCCTTCTCCACAGTCTGGAGCTCAGATGCTTCCCTGCCCATGGCCTCATGCTTCCCTGAACCTGCATCTAGTTCGAATCTCTCTTTTTCCATAGCCTCAATTCCTAGTTTGTGCTCGCCATGTAACTCGGCTTTTTTGTAGTCATTCTGACTGTCCCCGTTCGAGGTCTTGCGTCGGAAAGGTACCCATTTCTTCTTCCAGGCTACGATCAGCCACAACGCCGAGAGCAATAGAATGCCCGCGCCTACGCCAACCCCCGCATATGCAGCCGAGGAAGGATTCTTCGGGCTGTTTGTGGGTGAAGGTAGAGGCAGATCTGAAGTTTGACTGGGTTCGGATAGTGAGGGGATTGACACGATGTTCGTGGAGCCATTATCATGAGACGCTTGACTTAGATTGAAACTCTGTGCTTCGTAGTTGACGGTGATGTAAGTTTCCTGCAGGAATGCTCGACCGAGCATGTGTTGTGCGGGCTCTTGAGCTCGTTTCAACGGGAAGTAGTATGTAGGGGTATCCACAAAAGGGTATGTGAGCCTGAGATCGAAAGCTGAATATGGAAGCGTATAGTTTGTTGCTTGGTCGTCAAGTCCGATAGTGAATTGTACCTCGGGGTTCTCGCGTAAAAGCCGTATATGTGTTGTATCGTTGACAAGATACAGTTCCAATGTGTCGTCCCAGACCAGTCCAAATGCAGTTTCAAACATCGCACAAGCGTCCTCCGGGAGCCATATCTGGGGAACTGCGGGATCAATTGGAAATGCAGTTTGCAGAGATGGTTTCGCTCGTTCCCACGAAGCGGCCCCATTAATAGTGATTGCAGTCAAGTGTATGAAGAACCAATTGCTCTTCTCAGTTGAGAATTTCCATTGCGTGGTAGTTTCAGGATCGAATCGTGAAGAATCGTACCCGCCCAAGATCAGACTAGCTGATGTATCGCCTGCGAAAATGTTAAGTTATGAGCTACGAGTCTTCTCGAATTAGTTACGTACGATTGAAAGAGCCCGCTGTATAGCCAAAACTCAAGCTAGGAATGGTTTTTGAATTCCAGAGTGACAAGAGGAGTGAAGGTCGTGCTGCCCCAGGGGGGCCGACGGAATCCGGGAAGAGACCAAGTGTCGCAAGTTGGAACCTCTTATAGAATGTCTCGGCGATATACTGTAAGGAGAGTTTGCGGTCTTGTACAGTTTTTCCGAGGTATACATCATCAACGCCCCATGAAACGAGGCCCGGGTTGTCTGCTTCGCCTTCTTCACTAACGTCGGGGTAGCTGCTCAGATATTCGGTAATCTCTACAGGCATACGACTACTCTGTACCCACTCCCAGGTGTCTGACGAGTCTCCGTAAAAGAAAGCGCACGTATCATTACACCATCTGCTTTCCCTCGGCACGACGACAACCGGAGATATTGGGCCAGGAATACACCGAAAAGACTGGACTGGATTGCCCACAGAAAGGTCGAAAGTTGACCACGGACCGTCTGCGCCGTCCCTATTCCACGATTAGTTAGATCTCGAACTCATGATCATGGGAAGTTACCAATGTCCGCTAGGTGCGACAATAAGCGGTTCCACAGCAAATGCCTGCACCAGGCAGCGCCCTACCCATACTGCTGCGAGCCACGTAGATAGCAAGGCATGGAAGCGAACAGTCATGATGTCTCAAGCCCCATGAGAGAGAGGAACCGAGACGCAGGACAATAAAAACCCAAGACGCAAGCAGACGGGAAGTACGCTTGAACATTGGGGGTCATAACGCCTCCTTGCCACAAAATTACAGGGGTACTGTTTGTCGAGCGATGCTACTGGTGAACGGAATGCCAATAACTATCGGGGGCCTGTATGCCAAGTAGTCTTACCGGTCTGGGTGCAGGCCGTGATAAGCTAACTTGCAAGAGAACGAACACCGTGCGGGCATGCAATGTAAACTGTATATCGGACGAGACCAATTCGGGAATCTGGAAATGCTTCGCTCTTGCTGAGAAGGGTCATGTATTCATTCTCTCATGATCAAAGGGTATCCAGACTTACAACTCCCTCCTCTTCCTCGCCTCCTCACCCCCCTCCGCAACCTCCCCCGTCCTCTTCAAATCCACAAAATCGCCCTCCTCCTCAAGCGCATCAACATCACCCCTTTCCTTTGCCTTCTGTAGTTCCTCCGCCTCTTTCCTATCAGCCTCCTTCTGCATCTGCTCATCTACTTCTTGTCTCTCTACAATCTCCGCTTCTTCACCGACCTCGCCCGTCAATGGGCCCTCGCTCTCTTCGTACCAGTCTGTGCTCTCTGTCCACTCGATGATCTTCTCTTTGGCTGTCTCGCTGAGGGTGTAGTAGCCGGGGTTGTTGCGAGGCTCGAACATGGAGGTATGGGCCCAGGTTTCTGCTGTAGCCTTGTCGTTCACGGCGGGCATGAAGAAGTCCTTGAGAGGGCCTTTGGGTAGGTTGCAAAAGGTACGGTCTTTGCCTGCCACTTTGCCCGTCCAGCCGTGTTCCTTGTTCTCGCTGTTAACGGCGTGGCCGAGAGTGGTGTGCATGTTGCAGAAGCCAAGATCGTGGCTCGTTGTAAGTTTCGCAATCTTCTCCAGTCGCTTCCGCATCTCTTCAGGGCGGGCTAGGACACCGACGAATTCTAGATGTGATGTAGCCCATGATACGCCTTGGGTTATCTGGTCTTTCTTCATGTATGCTGCCGCACCTCCTGCTGCTATTGCGCCCGCTGCACCGGCAAACATGGCTACCTTTCCGTAGCGTTGCCACAGCGGTGCCGATGCTGCGTCGCCAGTAGACGAGGGTGCTGGGAGCATCTTGCTCGTATCAACAGCCCCTGCCGCAGTGTCCTTGCCGCCCCATCCAAACGCGCCTGCGAGGTTGTTGTAGGCCGAGTATGCCGAGCTCGCGGTGTTCCAATGCTTCTCTGCGCCATGTGCCACTACGCCAGGCGCTATACCGAGGTATGGTGTGTCGAAAGCGAGGATGCCCTGTATGTACGGGAACATGAGCGCCGAATGGTCGGCAAGCGAGCCCGTAGAGCCCGTCTGCGAGTTGGACTGCGAGTGGATCGGCTGTTCCGCGAGGATGGAGAGGAGCGTCTCAGCCGCAACGATGCCGCCCATAGAATGGCCTACGAGTATCGTGCGCACCGAAGGGTCGACAGTAGGCGAGGGCGTCGAATTGGCGACCTCGAGGTCTATGACTTTGTTCTGCAGCCATTCTTTGAAGCGGCCGACGCACTCGTGCAGGTCGCCTCGCGTCTCGAACTGGGGGTACGTGATGGTGAGGACGGTGACTTTGGGCAGTGCATGCTGGAGGAGCGCCTTCACGTGGCTCGGGAAGGTCCTGAATGTTTCATCTCCACCCTATAGCACGTGTCAGTATCGTTTTCGCATTTGTTCGCATCGCATTTGGCGTCGCATTGCCCATGGCCGGGCCTGAGACATGGAGATACGACCCCGGCGATGACGTAATGGTGGTATCACGTAAAGGATACGTACCTTGAAGCCGTGGATGAAGCACAGCAATAACGTCTTCCTCATGGTCCTCGACTATGCTCCTGTGCACCTGCATGGTGGTGGGGCTGGGTTAGTGGAGGGCTGACGATAAGTCGACTGGGCGGGAAGGCGATTACGTCTGGGGTGCAGCTACGCTCGCTTACCTGGCAGGGGGCTGTTGGCCGGAAGGGTCGATTGCCGTCGAGCAGCACGGCGGCATGAGAGTAATTTGGAAAGGTTGGATAAATGCGCAGGCAGGAGGAGAATCACATGCAGGAAATCGAGAGAGTGAGGTATTCATGTGCTTTAATTCATCGTTTCACGCAAGCTTTCGCTGCTGCGACTGCTCTTAATTGTGTCCACATATGCTACATGACTACTCAGTGACACATGGTCTCTCTGACACTCCCGGCTGTCGTGACTCTTCTCTGCCAATCCATCAATGCGGGTATAGTACAAACAATGCAAACTCCAACGCCATATCGTGAGCCTCTTCGGCAATGCATAAACATAAGAAAGGTGTAGACACAGTGCTACCAACTGCTCGTGAGCAGCACGATGGCTACTGCAGATAGACTTGCTATCGACAAGTACGAAGCCTTGAGCTGCCATGATGCGCCTACAGCAACGACGTCGAACGGTGAGCCACCGCCCGAGTCAGTGTTTGACAGCTGGGCATTCGGTGCTTGTGTGGGATCTGCCGCCTGAGCAGTGTCTGTGGGTGGCGCGACAGAAGTCGTGAACGTTCCAGTGGCATTCGGATCCAGCGTCAAGCCCCCTGTTGACGAGCTCGTAGTTGTCGGTTGCGCTGAGCTGGTCGGCTCGTCATCCCCATCGTCCGAATCCGCAGTTGAACTTGACGGAGTTGACGTCGCTTCGATTGCTGAGTTTGTGAAACTTGTGGACGTTAAGACCGCCTGGGTGCTTGTTGCTTGCTCTGATGTCTTCGTGCTCGTCTTCTGTGCAGTCTCGCTCGAGGTCGTTACGATAGTTACTCCTGGACATAGACTCTGGACACCCAGTCCGTTCTGGAAGACGCCGATGATGCTCAACTCGCCCGCATCAACGTCCGCGCACTTGTCTTTTACCTCCTCCGCGAGCGCTGAAAGACCCCGTACGCAGGATGCGGTACATGTTGCGCCAGACTTGAAGTCATCGGCTGAGCATCCCGAGATGGCGGAGTTGTAGACGGTGTTGCAAGATGTTGGGAGGTTTTGGATCCGCGGAATGAAGGCCGAGAGCGAGACTGTTGTCGCTGAGGATATCGACGCAAGCGTGAGCGCCACCAAGGCTGACCGTATTGAGGCGGGTAGCATTGTGAGTGTTGTGAAGGTTTTCGTGAATTGGGGTCGGCAGACCCGTAGGTCTCGAATGGAGAAAGGGCCGTGACCCAGAGTTCCGAGTGCTAATCTCGAACTTCGATCACGAAGCCTGGATGTCCTGGTGGAAAGATGTCTTCCGGAGGTGGTGAGACGACTTGCGTTTGAACAGGCGGTATGACGTTTTCAAGACAGCGGGATTGTTTGTGTCGTGTGAAATTTCGAGTGCTGCCGCCTGCCGACTGCACTGGGCTTTTTGCTGTGATGTTCCGGTGACTGCGCGTTGCCGTGGACAACCGAATGCCAGAACTCTTGCTGTCAACCTTTTGGTAGAGATGGTGATGCGCCCCACTTCTCACGTATTGGGATGTCGACAGAACTGTTTCGACACAATGGTGTAACGGCAGTGCGCGGATATACCAAAGATCGCCTTGTCTATACAGAACTATCCAGAAAAGCTGCAATAAAGAACGTGAATGACGCAACACGCAAACGAGGGAACGACTGTTGTTTCTTCCTGGCACCGGGCCTGCAAAAGAGCGAATGTACTTCCGAAACGAACTGTTGGGGAACAAAGACGCACAGCGTTAAGAAAGAAAACAGTTCGCAGAAGAAAGGAAAGGAGAAGGGAGGAGAGCCGCGATCTTCGTGATATTCAGTCGCTCAACAACCAAACTCAGGCAGCGTTGGGACCAGGCGGCGGGACCCGCCACATCTTAAGGTAGATCTACAAGGACACCCGTCCTATCCGCACACAGAAGACCCTTACCTTGCCTTTGCCTCATCATAGCTCAAGTGGGTAGCCACGAGACGGGCAGTCCTTGTACAGCTATCTGAGTGTCGCAAGTGGCCGTTATTCAGTTTTCTGAAACAACGGGGTAGGCGGTGGTTAGTGTCGCTGCGGCGTTGCAGCCGCCCATTGGCTGGGCGAGCCAGCGCAGGCGTTACATGTCGCGACCGCGCTTCAGATGCAGGTACCCGGAGCTGGACAGGAGATGTGTGAGAGGTGTGTGTCGCGCGTGTACTTAATTGAGCTGCCTCGGCGGTTGCGTATGGACTGGCGGGCGAGGCGCGAACCACAATCGCCCGAGATGAGACGGTTACGGCGCCTGCGTGGCTGTGGCGCGTGGATGCGTTCGCACGTGGAGCCCAAGAGCCTAGAAGAGAGAAGCTATCAAGATGCGGACTTGGCTTTCTTGGAGTGTACGTATGACGGGTTTGACGTGTGTGTGATGGTTATGGATGCGAGCTGCGTCTACCCTGATGGCCGCTGTTCGCGCTTTAACTACCTCGCCGCCGCTTCCTTGCACGCAAACCTCCATCATCCCAGTACGACGACGAGTCCATATGCGGGGCTTCATATTGCAAGAGCTTTCGCATGATGGCAATTGTTTCATTGTTTCAATCATCTCCTCAGCTATAGTTCCTGACGTTTTTCTATAGTTTCCATATGCGCGCTGACCGCGTCCAGCATCCTTGCCATGCGCGGAGCTCCTTGATCTTCCTACTCCATAACGATAACGCTCCTGAACCTCACCTTCCCGCTTTCCATGTGCTTGACGGCATCTTCCACCTTGTCGAATGGGAACTTTTCGACCATGCACTTCACGCCCTGTTTCTCCGCAAAGTCAATCGCTTCCTCGCTGTCCAGCGCATGTCCGGATGGCCATCCATGGACCGATTTGCCCTTCATGATCAGGCTCACGGTGTTGACTGGAATATCACCCACAGGCGCAAGGACAAGCAGTTTGCCCAGAGGTCCAAGTCCATCAACCAGCGGCCCTATAATCTCTGGGTTTGGTGCCGTGACAACAATGAGGCTTGCGCCACCCATCTTTTGTAGTGCCTCGGCAGCGTTTTCCTTCGATGTGTCGATGTAGTCGTTTGCGCCGAGCTGGTGAGCAAAGTCCTTTTTGTTGTCCGAAGAGGATACAGCGACCGTGCGGTAGCCCATCTTGCGAGCGTACTGGAGTGCGAGATGACCTAGGCCACCAAGACCTTGCACGGCGACAGTGTCACCTTGCTGGATGTTCATCTTGCGGATTCCGTTGAACACGGTAACGCCGGCGCAGAGTAGAGGAGCGTATTCGGCGGGGTTGGCATCGGCGGGAATACGCACTGCAGCCTCGCTGCGGAGGGTACAGTACTCAGCATCTGACATCACATCAGTCCACCATCCGGCACATCTCAGTATTCGCCAAAAGAAAGGTAAAACTTACATCCACCATCCCGACTAACACCATTAACAAGCTCATTCTCGCACATCTGGAACATTCCCTTATTGCACGACTTGCAACTCCCATCATGAGAACCATGCCATCCTCCACCGACACGGTCTCCAACCTTCCACTTCTTTTCGCCGTCGCCGACTGCGATTACCTTTCCAATGACTTCATGTCCTGGGACGCGAGGGTAGACATCGCCTAGATGGCCCTGTTGCATAAAGCTGTCTGAGTGACAGATGCCGCACGCAAGGACCTTGATCAGGACCTCGCCCGACTTGGGTGCAGAGACGGGGACATCTTTGATGGTCCACGGCGCGCCCTTCTTCTCAATCACGACGGCGCGGCAAGAGGAGGGGATGCCGGATGAAGACATGATGTTGTTTGTTGTACGAGTGTGCTGAGATTGAGCAGGTAAAGTGCAGAGATCAAGCTTCCTTAAGCGTGGACGCAAGCGTTTGTAGGTGCAGTAGTCAAGACGGTGTTGATCTGTGATGTCAACGAGCTGAGGTAGGCGCGACCTAGCCCTCTTTTAACTCGCCCTCCGTCATGCATGTGTGCATACATCATCGTTATCACCTATCACCGTTCCTTTTTTCCCCGCATCAACCGACGACTAAACATTTAAAACCGTCCTGGTCGACCAAACATGCTTCCGCGACATCCCATATTACGCCCCGCGCAGGGCGATTACAAAGACAGTCCAAATACGACAACTCATGTCGCAGTCGTCCGCACCTTCCGAACTACACCATCACCCCGCCTATTTCCGCGTTGATTGGCCTGGGCATACTTGCTCCTCGCATACCGATTGGAAGATCGTGCACATGTGGTACGCCCAACAGGCCTTACACTAACACCGACGGAGCCGAGAGTGTTATCTGGGTGTATTATAAACAGTCATGTATGTAGTCAACCAGCTGCAGCGGACAGATTCCGCGAGGTGCTCAATTCGCGCGGAGTTTGCGGTTTTAGTCGCGTCGTAGGAATGCACAACCTGAAGAAGCGTGCAATACGAAACGTGTTGGGGTATCATTTTAGTGCTGTCTAACCTCCAGTCAAGACTCTTGGAACACCTTACCAGGCGTCAAAGTTACCAAACCCACCAGTCTTGGCTTTCTTCTTGACAGGCGCAACATCCTCTTCGTCATCCACATATCCAACTATTTCATCCTCGCCCTGGTTTTGTATCTCCTGTTTCGCGGCTTGGAGATACTTGCCTACGCCGAGACCTTCACCCGTGCCGTTCTCCACAGTGCCATCTGCGCGTATGCGCTTGCCCGTCCATGTCGTCTTGTCGTCCGCTGTGCCGCCTTGCCTCTTGATCTCCTCAGCCTCCAGCTCCTTGTTCTCTTTGTCCTTGCGCTCCTTCTGCCATTCTTCAAAAGGATCTACGAAGACTACTACGTCTAGTATCTCAATGTCGTCGACAGGCTTGTCCTTCTCGCCTACTTCTGCGACCTCCATAGAGCGTAGTGTAGTATCCAGACCGCCAACTACTCGTGCGAAGATTGTGTGTTTGCGGTCGAGATGCGGTACTGCGCGGTACGTGATGAAGAACTGGCTCGTGTTGGTGCCCTTGCCCTTGTTTGCCATGCTGAGTACGCCTCTGGCGTTATGTCTCTCCGGCCCTTCGAACTCGTCTTCGAATGGCTTGCCCCATATGCTTTGCCCGCCTCTTCCTGTACCCGTTGGATCGCCACCTTGTATCATGAAGCCCTTGATGTTCCTGTGGAAGATTGTGTGGCTGTAGTATCCCTTCTGTGCCAGCTTGACAAAGTTCCATACCGCGCGCGGTGCGTATTCGGGGAGGAGTTCGACATTGAGATCGCCGAGTGAGGTGGAGATGCGTGCATAACCCTTGTTCTTTATGCGCTTCGGCTTGAGCATGTAGTCTTCGTCGGACAGGAGGGCGCGTTCGCCGGAGGTATGCGGGGTGACGCCGGTCGAGGTAAAGGACGCGGCCGCTTTGCCGGACGTATATACAGCGGCATTGTATGCTGGTTTCTTAGGTTCTGAGGATGTCGATGCTGCTGTGCCGTTCCTGGGTAGGTTCGCAAGGGCTTTCGACGTAATGCCACTTTGCTCCTTGATCTTCCTGTTTTCGCGCGCCTTCGCAACTGCTTCTTTCGCCTTGAGGATCTTCGCAGCGTTGCCCAGCGCCTCTTTGTTCACGCCGGTCTCCGCCTCTGCCACTACTGTGTCTCCATCCTTCACATGCTTGTATGAGCTAAAGTCTCTTGACTCTATACTCTGAGGGTCCTGGAGCGTAATGATATCCTTCCTTGTGAACGGGTCGTCGCTGACCAGATCCTGCCAATTCTTCGCCTTGATGTTCAGCCTCTCAACCGTGTCCCATGCGAAGACGTTGCCGCTCTTCCTCAGCGCAACGATGTGTGTGTTGTCTGTGAAGACCTTGTATGTGACCGGATCAACGAATTCGCCGTCCTCGTTCTTGGTGAAGTTCAGCGTGATGAGGTCGGCGCGCTTCAATGGCGTTCCGTCGACAGGATTCGTGTCGGGGTGTTTCGATAGCCATGTAAGGATGTGGGTGAGATCGAAGATAGTGCCCGATGTTGTGCACACGGGATCTGTGAAGGGCTGGAGCGAGACGGCGCAGTAGTTGAAGGGTAGGCGCTTGAAGGTCGAGGACAGGCCGGCAGCGGAGGCTCGATTTGCGCTGTTTGCGCCGCGCGCGTTGCCGAACGCATCCGAGGATGACCACTCGGAGTGGGTGATATAGAGCTTGTCGGTTCCTTTGCCCATGTCGGATAT